ACTCTTAATCGGGGGAAAATCCCTGGTCCCAATGGGAACAGATATGGGAATGATCCATTCTACTGAGGACTCTCAGGAATATTTCAAAGAAGTGACGTTGCAATGTTAGCATCAACTTGAAAATGACTGTTCGGCTCACTGCAACCTCCGCCTCCTGGGTTCAGGCAATTCTCCTGCCTCAGCCTCCTGAGTAGCTGGGATTACAGGCATGCACCACCATGCCCAGCTGATTTTTTTGTATTTTTAGAGACGGGGTTTCACCATGTGGACCAGGATGGTCTCGATCTCTTGACCTCGTGATCCACCCGCCTTGGCCTCCCAAAGTACTGGGATTACAGGCGTGAGCCACCGCGCCCGGCCTCATTTTCAGATTCTGTGCTGCACAGACCACAGCCTTCTCTTTTTGCCTCAGATCCCTAGAAATGGTAGTTTTTAAAAATTAAATATGAACATTGTGTTGTGTGCACTTAAAGAAAAAAAATTAAATATGTATGCTAAAATACTCTAAAAGAGTGTTTTTGATATTTTTATCATAATTATGCACTTCTAAGATGCTATTTTACTTTGTGACAATTTTAGATAATATAACTTCTTTTAATTACTTTATATCATATTTATTCAATAAGCCAAGCGTACTAGTTAACAATAAACAGATTCTTTTGGTAAAAACTCAAAATCAAATATTGTGACTAGCCACTGCCCTTAGTCAACTGTCCATGTCTAGTGATCTCAGTTTCTTTTTATCCTTGAGAGTACTATGTAGATTTTTTCTTTCAGTATTTTCAGAAGAAAAATCTCAAAGGTTGAAAGAACTCTATATGAATGTCCATATCACCAACAGATTCTACCATAATATTTTACTGTATAAACATGTTTAATCACTTATCTATCCACTTATCTATTTCTGTCTAATCCAGCATTTTTGATGAACTTAAATGTTAGTTACAAACAGTAATACCCTCCATGCTAAAATTATGCATGTGTATTAACTAGAATTGATATTTACATTTTTTCTTTTTAAGATAAAATTTATATATTGTGAAATGCACAAATCTTAAGTATCCTACTGGATACAATTTGACTAACACATAGGCCTGTGGAAACCAGCCTCTGTCCCTTGTGCCTCTTCCCACTTTGTGCATTTACCCCTACCCCCAGGGTAACCAATATGCATTTTGTTTTTTCCCCAAAATATATTACTTTTCTAATGTAGAACTTTATATTAATGAAGTTACATACAGCATATACCCTTTTGTATAAGACTTCTTTCAGTGTTTTTGAGATATTGAGCATATTAATAGTTCATCCTTTTTATTATTAGGTGGTACAGATTATTTCTCATCTGAAATGCTTGGGACCAGAAGCGTTTTTGGATTTTGGAACACTTGAAATTATACTTAATGATTGAGTATCCCTAATTTGAAACTCTGAAGTCCAAAATACTCCAATGAGCATTTCCTTTGAGCATCATATTAATGCTCAAAAAGGCTCAGATTTTGGAGCATTTTAGATTTTGGATTTTCGGATTAGGGATGCTCAACCTATGTATCCCATTTGTAGTCCTATTAGGTAGGGTTGGAATTACTGAGGCATAGGGTAGATGGTATATCTAGCTTTATTAGAACCAGTAAACCTTTTCCCAAAGCAGCTGTACCATTTTACACATTGACCAACAGTGTTTGAGAATGTTGGCTATTGCACATTTCACCAATATTTAGTGGTGTTAGTTTTTTTAATTTTAGTGCTGCTGATGAGTATGTAATGATATCTCATTGTTTAAGTTTACATTTCTCTGCTGGCTATTGACGTTGAGAACTTTTTCATTGGTTTATTGGTCCTCCATCTATCTTTTTTTTTTTTTTTTTTTTTTTGAGATGGAGTCTCGCTCAGTTGCCAGGGTGGAGTGCAGTGGTGCGATCTCAGCTCACTACAACTCTGCCTCCTGGGTTCAAGCTATTCTTCTGCCTCAGCCTCCCAAGAAGCTGAGACTACAGGCGTATGCCACCATGCCCAACTAATTTTTGTATTTTTAGCAGAGACAGGGTTTCACTATGTTGGCCAGGATGGCCTTGATCTCTTGATTTTGTGATCTGCCTGGCTCAGCCTCCCAAAGTGCTGGGATTACAGACGTGAGCCGCTGCGCCTGGCTCCATCTATCTTTTTTTGTGAAGTGTCTGTTCATATTTTTTGCTTATTTCTAAAAAATTTGTATTATGTTTATATTACTGCGTTGCTGGAGTTTTTTAATGCATTCTAGAAACCTGTTCTTCGTCAGATTTCTTTTGCAAATATCCTTCCCAGCCTGTGGTTTGCATATTCATTTTCTTAGTAATAATTTTGATGAGCAGAAGATTTTACAGTGTTAATGTCTAATTTGTCAGTTTTTTCTTTTATGGTTATTCTTTATTCCTATGAAACAAAACTTTTGTCTAACCCCATCATGAAGATAATCTCTTCTACTTTTCTCTAAAAGCCTCCAGAGTTTTAGTTTTACAGTTACATAATTCATTTCAAAGTAATTTTATATATGATATGAGATACAGGTTGAGGTTTTCTACCAGGAAAGCTCATCAGAGACTCAGCGCCCAAGTACTTAATTGGGAGCTGACATGTAGATAAGTTACCCTCTGCCTTGCATATACCAGAGTTCTAGATTCTCAGGAGAATGTGTGTTAGCCTAAACCACATTGTAGTTCAGGCATAGTACATACAGATATATAAATTTTGTTTTAAAGCAACCAGTAATTTCCTTGGAATCAAATTGTCAGTCTTTCTTGGTTGCTAGCTCTAATCTCTGTGCATGTCTTTATCCTGTGTACTGTTGGAGTCTGCCCTGTGCACACATGGTTCGTGGGTCAGGCAGACATTTGCACAGAATTTATATTCAGAACTTGGGGCCCTGTCTCTGTGGCTCCCTCTTTTGTATTATTCTGTCCTCACCTCCCAATGGGTGTGGTGTTTCCTTGTATCCTGGTTGTTAAGGCCAAGAAGGTTGTGCACTTTTAACTGTAGTTTTTGCCGTCTTTCTTGGCCCAGACCTGCTTTCAGAGCAGAAACCATGGAAAGGAAATTATAGTGGTGTTCCTGTCTTCCATGTTATCAACTCTCCCCTCTAGATCTTCTTGCTTTTATTTTCACGCCAGTGCCTTGAGATCAGGAGTTAGTTAATTAAATCCCACCTGATTTTTACAAATAAAATTTTATTGGAATATAGCCATGCCCATTTGTTTAACTTACTGTCTTATTTTGTTAACAAAAGCAGCTAAAGACAATAAATATGGTTTTTGGACTTTTAGTATAATTTTTTTTTTTTTAACTTCAGACTTTATAAAATGTTACATTTGATCTTTATTACATCAGGGACACTACAAATGGGAAAGATAATAATTTCACAGTTCTCCTCATTGATATTTCCTCCACATTGATATTTCCTCCACATTGATTCTGGAGCAGGGTTCCTTGCACTGAGCAACCTAGCATTAAAAGGAGGATTTCTTTTTTTTTTTTTTCAAAAGGTCACTTTGTAAACTGCTTGTCTGTTTGAACTTAGGGCATATGTAAAATAACAACTAGCATCTTCATAGCACCTTTTCTTTCATAAAATGCTTTACAGACAGAGTGTGGTGACTCATGCCTGTAATTCTAGCACTTGGGGAGGCCAAGGCAGGTGGATTACTTGAGCCCAGGAGTTCAAAACCAGCCTGGGCAACACAGTGAGATCCCATCACTACAAAAAAATGCAAAAATTAGTCAAGCATGGTGGTATGCGTCTGTAGTCCTAGTTACTTGGGAAGCTGAGATGGGAGGATTGCTTAAGTCTGGAAGGTAGAGCTGTAGTGAGCTGTGATTGCACCATTGCACTCCTACTTGGGTGACAGAGGGAGACCCTATCTCAAGGAAAAAAAAAAGGATATTTTAAGTCTTTGATTTGGTAATATTCAGTATATAAGAAGATTGTATTATAAGTGCTTTCTGAATATTTATTTTATTTTACTTTTTTGAGGCTGAGACAGGGTCTTGTTCTGTTATCCAGGCTGGAGTGCCATGGCACAGTCTTGGCTCACTGCAACTTCCACTTCCCTGGCTCAAGTGGTTCTCATGCTTCAGCCTCCCAATTAGCTGGGATTAGAGGCCCAACTAATTTTTTGTGTTTTCAGTAGAAACAGGGTTTCACCATGTAGGCCAGACTGGTGTCGAACTCCTGACTTCAAGTGATCCGCCTGCCTTGGCCTCCCAAAGTGCTGGGATTACAGGTGTGAGCCACTGCACCCAGCCAATATTTATTGTTGTATTGAAGAAAACATCCTGAAATATTCTTCTCAGAAGATTAAAAGAATAAATCTTAAATGCATTCATAAATCAGCAAATATATAGCTTTATCTTTTTTGGCTTTTTTCGTATGTCTTTTCTAAACAATATGGTAACATAGCTGATAAACATATTGATAGTTTAGCTTAGCTTGGGTAATTAGCCTAGTGAATAACCTCATCTCTGGTAGGTGTGTTGGATTAATGCCGGAAATGCCCTATAAAGAAGAATACATCTGATCAGAGTTCTTCCTATTTTTCTTTTCCCATTTCTTACCCTCACTCATGCCCCAATTTTAAAGCCATCATCTTTACATTTCATTTGACTGGTATGCAATATTATGACCCTGTTATTGATTCAGAATATACTTAGGTCTTCCTGTTTATGTTTGTTCAGCCCTATTTAATTGTTATTTTTACTTAGCCCATCTTAGATTTGAAATTTGATTACATTCAATGTGATTAAAATATAGGCTTTTGAGTGAAATAGTTTGGTAAAACTTGCTTTATATAAATACGGCCATGATAAGCAGTATGTTATTCTTCAGATTATTAAATATTTATAACTAGAACATTGATATCCAAGTATTCTTGCTTTCTATGTTGACAGATTATAAGAGAAAATAGCATCTCTCTCAGTGAAATCGAATTGCCTTGCTCAGAGGATTTGAATTTGGAAACCTTGTCGTAAGTGATGTATAATGCAAATTAGCGATTCTAGCAACTATCAGATAAATAAATTGAAATATAGTATGTAGGAGTACTGTTGTCTTTGATTTGAGTAATTCCGAAGCCCACACGTTTCTCACCATTATTTATCAGAGGTTCATGAGGTTGGTTAAAGCTCTCTGAAGTATAGAGCTCTTGCCCTCAAAAAGCAATATTGGAGATTTAACTTGTACGGTATGTATTTTTGTTTTATCCTTTCCATTAAAAAATTGGCAACAATTTTAAAAATTGTTTTTGTTGCATATGAAACTATAGGTAAGGGGCAAACTTTTTAAATAAAGGTGACCTGATGCTTCTGCTGAAAAAAAAATATATATAGAAATCTGCTGACTGAGAAGAGGCACACTTGATCATTCCCAGAAAGATATACGCTAGCTTAGAGAACTGGAATATTCATTGTTACTTATGTCAAATTAATTTTAAAGTAAAATAATGACTATTAAATTTCTTGTCACCTGTTTTCAGGCAAGCACATGTCTACATAATTGCAGGAGCCTGTTTGTCTCTGGGTTTTCGATTTGCTGGCTCAGAAAACTTGTCAGCATTTAACTGTTTGGTAAGAGCTATTTTAGTTTACTGTGTTCTTTTTCGTTTTAACAAAGCCTTAAGATGCTTCTTTTAACTTCGAATTTTTTCTTTTGTTTTTCTAGCATAAATTTGCAAAAGATTTTATGACTTATTTGTCTGCACCTAATGCTTCTGTTGTAAGTCTTTTTATCATTCTCCTTGGGAATAAAATTAAACTTGAAAAAAATTTACCGGTAATCCAGTTACTTATGTATTGTCAGATATCCCTGCTGTTTGTTTGAATGTAGAACAAGAGATTTGAACAACCATTAGCTCACCTTTTTATTTTTGTTTTGGGATATTAAATTAGACGAGAGTATGATTACCCTAGAAGGATGCACAGGTTTCTAGTCCTTGTGACAAGAGAATAAGAAAGGCCATAACACTCGTGGATTGTCATACCTCATGTAATTCTGTCTCAGTATTAAATATTGGGAATTTTCCTTTTTAAAAACTATTAGTATTTAGTAAGGAATCAGTTGCTTTTGAAGCATTGCTTCTCTGATGACAAAACTAAGAGAGTTTCTTTCCTGGCAAAAACTACATAGATTTATGCAACACTATTTATAATATAGAAAATTAGAAATGTCAAAGTCTAAAAATAGTTAATTAAATTTGATTATGGCTTATTTATACATTCTTATACAGTGGAGCTACCAAAATCATGTTATATAAGAATTTTTTTGTGGCTGGTTACAGTGGCTCATGCTATAATCCTAGCAAATTTGGGAGGCTGAAGTGGGAGGATCATTTGAACCCAGAAGGTTGAAGTCAGCCTGGGCAACATAGAGAAACCCCATCTCTACAAAAATAAAAAATTAGCTGGGTGTGGTGACACACACATATAGTCCCAGCTACTTGGGAAGCTGAGGTGGTGGATCCTTTGACCGCAGGAGGCTGAGGCTGTAGGGAGCCGAGATTGTGCCACTGCATTCCAGCCTGGGTGACAGAGTGAGAGACCCTGTCTCAACAAACAAACAAACAAATCAAAAAAAACACAACTTTTTTGTAAGTGAAGCTTGCTTATAATTATTTAAAAGGTTAAAAAAAATATTTTGTAGAGCAACATCTCAATTTCATTTGGAAAAAATATGTGTAGATAAAGGAAAAATTCAGAGAAAAAGCCAAAATGTTAACACCAATTATCTTTGGGTGTGACATTCCAAGTGATTGTTATGCCTTCTCGATATTCAATATTTGACATTATTTCCATTGAACTTATATTTCATAATCAGGGAAAATATTTGTATTTACAGAGTTTTTTTTAAGTTACAAACTTTTGTAGTCTTCTAATGATGGCTAAGTTAATTCTGATAATAAAGAAGTGTAACACAACTGTTACAGTGACGTCATCTCTTCACCTTATAGACAGGTCCTTACAACCTAGAAACTTGTCTGAGTGTGGTGCTGCTGTCTCTCGCCATGGTCATGGCTGGCTCCGGAAACCTAAAGGTTTTGCAGCTTTGTCGCTTCTTACACATGAAAACGGGTGGTGAAATGAACTATGGCTTTCACTTAGCCCACCACATGGCTCTTGGACTTCTATTTTTGGGAGGAGGAAGGTAAATGAATATGTATTTTTTCCAATGCAAAGATCTCATTGGTGAGATCTATAAGGGTGACTTACTTTGATCTTGAAGATAGATGAAAAATAAAACTCTTACTAGCTCTTAGCTCATCTAGCTGCATTATTCCACTTGGTGGGCTTCTTTATTGTTTAACTGTCAACTTATGGTGTACTCAGTAGAATTAGCATCCTCTCTGACACTGAGCATCACTGTATTTCTCAGAATAGTCTGTGCTCAGTGCTTCAGTGCATCACTGCTATGCTCAACTGGTTAAAAATTTTACTGTTCCACTAAGCTACTTTCTCAAAAAGGTTACAAAAAAAATCATTTCTTACCAGATCCTGTGACATTTTCTTAGTTTTCAACTTTGTTGCTCTTTTTCCAACATCTGCCATTCCTCACTACGTCCTTTATAAGACTGTACTGGCTTTAGATGATCTGTAATGAATAAATACATATATACAGAAGGTGTACAAATCATAGGTACTGGTCAAAGAGCTATCTACCATAGAAAAATCTCTTTGTTGTCATGTAGATCAAGATTCCATATAGCACTCGCGACTCGCAACACCCGTCTCTGCTTTTGCCATGCACCCCTCTCAATCACTATTATCTTTCTCTCCCCAAAGATAGCTACTATCCAGTCTCATAACACCTTAGGTTGGTCTTGCCTGTTTTTGATATTTAAATTGAATTATATACAATGTAGCTTTTTGCACTTTACTTTTGTTCAATATTTTGTTTGTAAGATGCCTGTTGTATGTAGCAATGGATTATTCAAGTTTCAGTGTTGTATTACATATCATTATATGACTGTACCACATTTTATTGATCTCTCCCATTGATGGATATGCTTCTTGCTTCTAGTTTGGGGCTGTTAGGAACAATGCTGTTAGGGAAAGTTGTACATGCCTTTGATTTGTTGTATATAGATCTGTGTGTGAAATCATAATTACATATGAATTCGCCTTCAGTGAATAATGCCATCAGGGCTGCAGTGCAGTTGTACCATTTTACATACTCATGGGCAGGATGTGAAGTTCCAGTTGTTCCATATCCTTGTCAACCCTTGTTATTGTTATAGTCTGTTTACTTTTAGCTAACTAGTAGGTATATAACAGTATCTCACTGTGGTTTTAATTTCCATATTTCTGAATAATGTTCTTGAGTACCATTTTATACTTTTAATAGCCAACACAAAACTTTTTTTGTGATGTCCGAGTCTCTTGCTACCCAGTTTTTATATTTATCTATTTTAAAATGTTTATTTGTTGTAAAATACACATAACATAAAATTTATCATCTTGACCATTTTTAAGTATGCAGTTAAGTAGTGTGACGTATATTCACATTGTTGTGCAACCAATCCCCAGAACTTTTTCATCTTGTACAACTGGCACACTGTACCCGTTAAACAACTCCCTGTTTGTGCGTGCACCAGCCTCTGGCAGCCACCATTCTACTTTCTGTTTCAATGCGGTTGACTGCTCCACATTGGTTTAGCTTTGTGTTGATGTGCATGGATTCTTTAAACTATGTCCTAAGCCCTTGGTCAGTTTTGTATGTTGCAGTTATCTTTGCCACCCCAGGGCTTATATTTGCCTGTTCACTCTCTCCCTGGTGTCTTTTGATGACATAATTATTAATGTTTTCCTATTATGGTTTTTACTTTTTTGTACTGCTTATGAAATATTTTCTTACCCAGAGAAAAGGAGATGTTCTTATATTTTATCTTCTAGAAGTTCTTAGCTTTTCCATTCATATTTGGATCTAAAATCTACCTGGCACTGATTTTTCTCTATTTTTTTTTTCCACTGCTATTGAAAAGTTTATCCTTCTCCACTGCTCTGCAGTACCACCTCTATCATATAAGTTAAATGTCTATACACCTGTGTTTATTTCTGGGCTATTAGGTCCTGCTGGTCTATTTTTCTGTACTTGCACCAATACTACACTGTCTTATGAATCTTGGTATCCAGTTGAGTAAATCCTTCAACCTGGGTTTTCTTCTTCAAAAGTGTGGTTTTTTTCTTGGCTCTTTGCATGTTCATATAAATATTGGAATCTGTCATTTTCCATACTAAATAACCTGATAAAATATTGAACAGAATTGCCTTGATTGTATGTGCCTGTGTTAGGGAAGATTAGAATCTATTACAGTATTGTCTTCTATTCTGTGAATATGGTATACTGCTGCATTTATTTAGCTCTAGCGTGTGTGACCTTGGTCAATAGCAATGGCTGCAGTGTCTACGAGTGACATAGGCTTATTTCCCCCTCCTGTTTTAAGACTGAGCTCACTCTTGGAACTCACCTTTCCAGAAGTACAAAAAGTAAAGATGATCAGAAAGGCGTGTGTTTCCTCTCAACATGTTTTGTGGAATTGTCTTTCTTTAATTGTTGAGAATTAATAATGGTTAAAGAAATAGTACTACAGAAATTCTTATTTTATTCTATTTTATGATTTTTGAAATTTTTTTCCTTTCAAAATGAGCCTCTGCATGCCTTACTCAATCCCATCTTTCATTGTTCCAAACTGCATGACTCCCCTTTTTATTCTTTCATATCGAATAGATTTTTCTACCATTCTGCTACTGCTCTCCTAGTGATTTTTGGTTTTTAAATGGTCATGTATACTCTGTAACAACATTTAAATTTATCATAGCTACACCATTATGTTTCTACCTAAAATTTCTAACATTAATATCTTAATATTTATCTTTGAATTTTGGTTTATCAAAATGGTACAGAGAAAATGGCTTATTCCATGCACATGCCAAAATAGATGTTATTTCCTTGCATAATTTTTGAAATCTCTTCTTTCTAATTCATTAAATATATGGACATATATAATGAATTCTAAGTTCTTATTTAATACTCCAATTATTTTAAAAACCAGGGAAAGAGATTTGGGTATATATGTGTGCATATTTGTGTGTAATAACAGTATTTATATTCAGTAGTTCTAGAATTAACTACTAGTGGTTTTATATGATGTCCTATGCCATCTTTATTTCAAAATATTTTTTTAGAAAAACTCTGGAACTTTAGATTAATTTGCCTGTTTGCTGTACCAAATTTGAGCAACAATAAATTAAGGAAAATTTCAATAGATCCTTTACTAAGAGAATATTTTAAAAGTCTATAAAACTTTATCTTAAAAGTTTATCATATTGGTAAGAAAAGAATTTATATTTAGAGGAATAGTTGTTTATACAGTCATCGTAACTTTTTAATAATAACTTCTGCTCTTTCATTTAATCAGTCAT